AGACTCGGATGCCTTCCCAAGGAATGTCAGTGTTCCTCAGCAGAAACAAGCACAATCGTGATCAGAGGGTTTGACAAGGCAAGGCCCTCAGCAAATGCGAGTGTGAAAATAGACCACATTAACGCTGTCTCTCCTTGGGCTTGATGACATAGGAATGCATATATAATGGAGAGAGATCTCGACATACTATGTATTAGTGAAACGGCTTCACCAAGATATGTCAAATGCATTTATTAATATTCCAAATTTCAATGTGGTAATTGTTGAAGACCGCGACGCACCCTCGCAGAGACTAAGTCGAAAAAAATGATGTTTTTCTGCATGAAATCCTATGATTTCATCGATTTTCGGCGTTGTTTCTTTTGCGAATGAATCGTTCAGGAGATCGAGTACCATTTCTCCATCGACGATCTTGATTTGATAGTCCCGTTAGCAGGGGAGGGCATTATGGAAATTATGGGGTAAAACAAGCTTAAATAAGAAGAATAACGATCAAAAATGCGTAAAACTAGCACAAAAAGCGCTTAAAATCGGCCAATGAAACTCTACGGATGTAACCGCCATCTTTGAAAGTTTACGGACTGACGCGAAATAAATAAAAAACTCTACGGGAACCCAACCCACATTTCGGAAAAAAATCTACGGGAATTCACACGTTCCAAACCCCAAAAACGTATTGACCAATAAACCAACCAACCTAATATATCAATATAAATTGCCGTGACTAGGCGTGCCCTTCGGGCACTGCCCGAGGGGAGGGTTGATGGGGGGCAAGCCCCCCAACACCCCCCAGGACACATTCTCTCCACCACGGTATGTACGGCAAGACAGAGCTGCATTCACACCGTAAAATAATAAACCAAATACCTTTATATCCGGAAACGTGAAACTTTCGTTTCTTTGTACTGTTGGGATTGCTTCGATTTTAATCACCTTTTTCGTCCTTTGGAGCTCTTGATGGGCTCAGATATAAAACTGGGATGGTTACTGAAGTCGAATTATTCTTCGATGCCACTGTAAAGGTCTTAAAAAAGAACCCAGAATCAACACAACACTGGAAACGCAACATTTCTCACCGGCTTTCAATCTCGAAATGAGCGGGTTAGTGAGCTGTCAACCTGTGGCTGGCGCAAGAAAGTGTGAAACACTCGATGCGCAGGATTCGATATGAGGGTATAGATAAATATAAAAAATATGCAATTGAAGTATAATAACATTACTAAAAGACTTTAAAGGTATAAATGCGTACCAGCAGACACAGATAATTAGCCAAATATCGTTTTGACAAGCGCGTAATGATACACGGACTAGTTCGCGAACGCAAAAATGCGTTCGTGGGTCAGTGTCGTGTTTTTCCTAGCAAGGTAAACAAGCTCATCGACTTTGAATTTGAAAGGCGGCCGCGCGTTATATTTTCGTCATTTAGCGGTGACTATAAGGCCTGTGCATCTTAAACTATACGCTATCCCCTTCTATTTTTCCCGCTCTATAAGATGGCGGTGTCCATTTTCCTCTATCTACGCGCGTCGCGGTCTTCAACCTCTACCGAGGTATCCACTACAATTGCTAAGATTGCAGATGTAGAGGATATCTGAGGTAATGTACAATGTAATATGCATCCGTCTTTCATTGTAGGCGCGATCTATAGGTATCCTCATGGTTCCTCTGAATCTTTTGTTTATTTAGAAAAAGGTTTTAGAGAAATGTCATTGAAGAAGAAACCTTTCATACTTGGCGATCTAAAATGACAAACAAGCCAAATTCTAAATTAACTAAGATTAATTAAAACAAATTTGAACAACTGGTAAATAAACCTACAAGAATCACAGAAAATACTTCGTCATTGATGCAATTATACCAACGGAGCTGACATTGTCCTCCATACAGACGTCACTCCATGCCATGTTGCCGACCACGAACTCGTAACGGTGACACTAGATATAAAGAAGTCAAAACGACCACAAATTACAAAAAGCTTTCGCGAATTAGCCAATTATGATTCTCAGTCATTATGTCAACTCATAATAGCCAAAGAATCAACTCTTTTACAAATTTTGCAAACAGTTAACAGACAAGCAGGTAAATGTATTCACAGTGATCAATGATGGTATAAATGCCATCGCCCCCTTTGTTACTAAAATTATTAGACGTCCTCCGGCCCCTTGGATAAACAACGACATCAAGAGAGCCATAACAGATAGAAATAATGTGCATAACGCTCTCAAAAATAACAGATTCCACATGACTCTCCAGGCTGACTATAAACAAAGGAAGAGAAATGTCAAATCACTAATACAAGAAGCCAAAACTGATTTTAAAAATAGATTAACAAATTTTAAAAAAGATTTCAGCTAAAACATGGAAGATTTTTAAAACACTTGTACCAAACAAAAACCACCATAAAGATAATCTAAACACCAAAATTAGTACAAACGAATTTAATGAGTTCTTCGCTAAAATTGGACATTCCACATATGAACAAAAACGCTTCCATATCTAAACAAAAAAACAGTTAGGATAAGGCCCTCAGCCAATAGTTTCAGACCACAACCTATTCAAATAGAAACTGTAATCCTGACAATAAAACACCTGCGTGAAACAAATTCTGTGGGAGTGGATGGCATTGCTCGCTTTGGAAGCATGACATAACACC